GGGCGTTTATTACCTTAGGATGTGTGAAACAAGGCATTTATTACCTTGCGATGTGTGAAACAAGGCATTTATTACCTTGCGATGTGTGAAACAAGGCATTTATTACCTTGCAATGTGTGAAACAGGGCATTTATTACCTTGCAATGTGTGAAACAGGGCATTTATTACCTCACGGTGTGTGAAACAGGGCGTTTATTACCTCACGATGTGTGAAACAGGGCATTTATTACCTCACGGTGTGTGAAACAGGGCGTTTATTACCTTAGGATGTGTGAAACAAGGCATTTATTACCTTGCGATGTGTGAAACAAGGCATTTATTACCTTGCGATGTGTGAAACAGGGCATTTATTACCTCACGGTGTGTGAAACAGGGCGTTTATTACCTCACGATGTGTGAAACAAGGCATTTATTACATTGCTTTCCATCCATTAAACAATTAAAATGTGTTTGCATACACAAGAAATTCATTTCACCATATTGTGTCACTCTTGTTATTCATTACATGTAATTTGACACCAACCTTGAATGTAAAGTTAGTGCATGAAGGCTTGTATCGTACGCATTAACTGGAACAATAATTCATTCTGTCATACCATGAAAAAATGTTACATTATTTGTTTTGATCATAATATTAAACATAGTCTATTTATTTATTTTTCCTCTTATGTAATCTCTGGTGTTTGGTCATGCTTATATCTATATTCTGTGGGGTTCTGTTCTTCTCACCTCCTATTTATACCACCTGTATAGTTCCAGGGAAAGCTCTATGAAATGGAGAAGGTAAGATCATGTTTGCATGAATTGCATGAAGGTTTTTAAAATATTTAAAGTGGTTTAATTCAGCAGGGTTTGTACATTTCTCTTTATAACCAGCAATGTAAACGAGTTAGTTAAGAATAGTTTTATTTCGTTCTTTTTTTTTTACTTCTTCATATCATTTCTGTTTCAAATATGTACATGTTTGTAGCACTTATATTTTTTATTTTTATTGTTGTTTAATGTTATACTCAGATTGTTGTCTCACACATATATTTCTAGCCATAAACAACATCATTTTATCAAATCTAATTATTTTCATCCCTAACAACAAATTCTAGGAATCTGAAAAAAAGTATTTTAAGAGTACTTTAGATTCTATTATCTGAATCTTTGGTATTACAAAAATGTTCAAATTACCACTATAACAAATGTTTACAACACAAAACATACAAAAGCTATATATGTGTACCACAATACTCTAGATATGCTTTTTACGCTCCTTATATAAGCTTCATTTGTCCAAATTACTAGCCTACGGATGAGTTCAGCAGTAGTTATAATGCTGCAAATGTAAGTGTTTTGCCATTCTTGCATATCTTGTAATGAGTATTGTTATCTATGGTAAAGTTTTTGTTAAAGTCCTCTACGTTTGAATTGTAAGTGATACATAACAATATCTACCTGTAAAGTTCTTACATCTAAATTTGAATAGATCTTTATTTCAGTTATTAAATAGTGTCTAGACAGTAACAACATGTTTTCATTCTCGGTATCGACTTAAAAATATTTTTGTTAGCACTAAATTTACTAGTAATCTACTGATTGTGAGCAACTTAACACTAATATGGAATTTTCTATATACTTGCAGCAGTACAAGACAGCTGAGAGATATTTAAAAAGACTGGAGTTTCAGCTGGTAAAGGTGATATATTTTTTTTCAATTTCCCAATTGAAAACATTAAAAATTTACAACTTTCAATGTTACAAGGGTATATACTTAATTCTTTGTCTCTGATACTGCAGTGTAAACAGTATCACTCGGAACACTCGTTGTTGCAAGATATTATAACTCTTGTGTACTCCTAATCATGCAATATTGTCATAGTAATATCTTTTTGTGTGCGGTGTTCAGGCTTCTCATTCTTCATGAAACTGTAAAGTAATCTCACAGGTTTTTATGGTTTCATTTTAAATTTCTAACGGTTATTATAAGTTAAAATAATATTTACATTTAATGAGAATTGTAAAGAAATTTAACTGAAGAGTTTTTAAAAATTGTAAAAGTTTTGAGTTTTAAATATTGTGGAGGTATACCATGGTCAACATTACTACAATACAAAAATTAATGTTTGACCAGCTTGAAGAACTCCAAGATCAGTATGAAATTCACCAGAAGATGAGGGACGGTATGTTGATTCTCTAAATTTTAATTTATTAAATATTTCAAAAGTTTGTGATGCATGAAATTGACTTTTTAGTAAAACATATAAACAATAGTATTAATAATGAAAACAAAAACATGAAAAATATGCATGAAATGTTTATAAAACAACTGTCGGTAATGTTTTCATCCTTTTAGTTTTTTGTATGTTAAACTTTCTACACTATTATATTACAAGCTTCATACCCTTCTATATAGCAGTACTTGTGTACTCCTGTATATTATGTGTTTCGTATGAAACCATTCCCTTTTATATTTGTGTATTGCTGTATGTGTGTTTCTTATGAAACCATTCCCGTTTATAATTGTGTATTGCTGTATGTGTGTTTCTTATGAAACCATTCCCGTTTATAATTGTGTATTGCTGTATGTGTGTTTCTTATGAAACCATTCCCTTTTATATTTGTATATTGCTGTATATGTGTTTCTTATGAAACCATTCCCTTTTATAATTGTATATTGCTGTATGTGTGTTTCTTATGAAACCATTCCCTTTTATATTTGTGTATTGCTGTATATATGAGTTTCTTATGAGACCATTCCCTTTTATATTTGTATATTGCTGTATATGTGTTTCTTATGAAACCATTCCCTTTTATATTTGTATATTGCTGTATATGTGTGTTTCTTATGAAATCATTCCCGTTTTATAATTGTGTATTACTGTATATGTGTTTCTTTTTAAACCATTCCCCTTTTATAATCGTGTATTGCTGTATGAGTGTTTCTTTTTAAACCATTCCCTTTTATTGCTTATTTCGTTTTGTACTGAAAGTGGTATTTCTATTGTTTTTGTTTTTTTGAACATGACAAGCCAGGGTATCACCTATTGAACAGAATGCCCAGACTGCGAATCAGACAGTTCATGTTCATAACCTGTTTCTGTAAAAACTTACCCAGACTGTGAATCAGACAGTTCATGATCATGACCTGTTGCTGTAAAAACTGACTCAGAATGCCCAGACTGTGAATCAGACAGTTCATGACCATAACCTGTTGCTGTAAAAACTGATTCGCCCAGACTGTGAATCAGACAGTTCATGACCATAACCTGTTGCTGTAAAAACTGACTCAGAAAGCCTAGACTGTGAATCAGACGGTTCATGGTCATACCCTGTTGCTGTAAAAACTGACTCAGAATGCCCAGACTGTGAATCAGACAGTTCATTAACCTACCCTGTTGCTGTAAAAACTGACTCAGAATGCCCAGACTGTGA